TGTGAGAAGCATGTCTGAGGTGATGAGTAATACCAGACCAGAGTGAAATATGTTGTGGTAACTGCAGGAAGTGATCAGAAGACATACAAAGTAGAGAAGACCACCAATGGTACTGATAGCACACCAGTGATGTGGTCAGCACAGGAAATTTCCTTGACCATTAGTGATAGAGAGATGGACATTTAGTTCACAGGAAGGGCCAGATCTCCTGCTGTTATGGAAGGTGGGATTTTTCATAACAGGTGCTTGAACATCTGGTACTGGGGAAGAAGCAGATGCTTTGGTATAAGATATTAAGGAATGAACGAAGGATTTCAGAATAAATGAATAAATACGATAAATAAATAAAGAAGCAAATAATGGAGCAAACGATCACACAAATAAGTTCTTTTAAAGAAACAAACGACTTTTAACACAGGCAAAAAAAAAGGCAGACTGAGATAAAAATCCATGCACTGTCCAAGATGTCCTTGCACTGACTGCTATGTCCAAAGCAGTGACCACGTCCAAGCACTGCCCTGTCACCTGTCTCTCCAAATGTCCACAACTGGTCATTTACATTCCACACAGGGATACACCTTTTATTGTACAGATGTTTCTGCTCATTTTGCATGCAAAAAGCTGATTATGTGCATAAATGAACATGTCCCAGTACCTGTTTCTTTTTTATCTACATTTAACTGTAATCATAGCAGAATGGCACGGGTTGTGTGTGTGAACTTTATAATATACAGTTTATAGTGTCTTCGTTCCTTCTGACTCTCCTATAATTGCTGGTAAACATATACCAACTCGCTACACCCTAAAATCATCCCCCTGCTTGGCTTACCAGACAGCAATGATGTTCATCTAATCTGCAAAAAGTTGACTTAAAATCTACTTTAAATCTTTTGTATTCTTTATAAATGACAATTACACAAATCAACTTTTATGTATTTGGTTATTTACATTTCTTTTACAGCGTGAGATAAATTTAAGATTTTGTTCCTGCACATGTAAGATGGTCAATCTGCATCTACTTCTACCATTGATTCGATCTGTTCACAGATGTCTTATCATTAGTTCTGCACAATTAAAGTGGATCTAATTATGGATGCAGAGTTTGTGTTGTACAGTATCAAATATTAATTTTTTTACAGATGGTCAAGATGTGAATACATTTTTTTTAAGTTAAAAGCTCTTTCAAAATGGGTGCAGGGCATTGACTTCTCAAAACTGAAATGTTAAAAAAAAAAGAAAAAAAAAATCAATTACCGACTCCCACCTCTATCTGACCTCTGGGCTAAGTGACCAAAAATATAATTTCTGTGATCTACCCTGCATTCCACTGGTGTCAAGTGACCATTAAACATAATCCTAAAACTCCTGCCATGATAATTGCCAAAACGTGAATTTTTTTCATTGCTTTTTTTGAGGATTTGACTATCTTGTGTGGCTTTCATAACTATAGGCACAAGAATGGGAGAGGCTGAAATGTCACAGGATGGTACCGGTAATTGATTGAAATTTCCAAAAACCTCACTTACTGCCGTCATTTTACTTTCCCCCCCTAAGATTTATCAATTTTAATATCTAACAAACTGTATTTTCTGACTTGAAGTAATGTCACTTTTCAGAGATACTGCATCAATACTTGAAAGAAATTTCACTCATAGCAAGTGCACCGAAGAACATAATTCTTTATTCAATCTCAATGAATAATTGCCATAAATGCCAATATTTTTGGTGTCTTAACTAGGGTCAAAAAGCTGTGCTCTCCAGATATTTTTCACGACCAAAATTATGTGGCCACAAGACTTTCCCCTTGAAGTTGTAATGTCTGGTTTCTGATATATGTGTCTGTATGAAGTGTCTTTAGACTGGACATTATTCATATTTTTATCACTTACTGAGACATTTCATTGACAAATAGAAATATACTGAAAATCCTCAATTATTTGTGTGTGGGCTTGTGCTTTGTACGCCGGTATATGGATATAACTAGTGTAGGATGGGGCACCTTAAAAACTGCATGGCATCTGATACCCATATTGAATTATGGCAATGTTTAATTCTATTTATCTTAATTCAAAATTTAGCAAATAATTAACCAAATCGGTTTAGAAAAATATGTTATTCTCCATTATCAATATAAAAGTCACACTGACTCACTGAATAGTGATAACAGCTTGTTTGTGAGTGTGCATGTTAATTTACACATACAGCAAGTGTGTTTGTGTACCAGAAAGCTCATGTATATATGTGTGTGCATATATGCACATGCCCATGTGTGTGTGTGTGTGTGTGTGTGTGTGTGTGTGTGTGTGTGAGAAAGAGAGAGAGAGAGGAGGAGGAGGAGTGGGGAGGGAGGGGAGGATCCAGTGCAAGATTGGTAAGGATCACAAGATAAATCAAGGGACTACAAATAAGCCAATATCAGCACATCACGGTGGGTCACACACAATCATCTGCTATCTCTCACAAACAAGTTTACTTCATAAACATGATAAAATGTGAACCATGCATTACATTCATATTTTTATCTGAAATTCTTGGAACAGGAGTGATTTAAGTAAACGTTTTATCAACGAAGTTTTCAGAGTGTAGGAAGGTTTCCGGATATTTGTTCAGATTTGATGATAAAAACCACACCCTGAATGCTCAGTGTGACTCTAGGGGATAAGAGCATCATCAAATTCCAAATGTTTAATTTTTCCAATTTAATTTTGATTTAATAAAATACATATTACAGTATCTTTCTACTTCCTTTTCCCTGATTGTATCACAATGAAAACTGTAAAAATTTCACTGACTCCCATCTTGCTGTTCTCAAAAGTGCATTATCAAATTACAAATAAATATGCTCACCAACAAGTATTTTTTGCTACGGTGCAATTAATCTATCTTTGGGGGGCCATTGCAATTCAGAACTTTAACAGGTCATCATCCTTTCATATATCTTATTAGTTAAACAATAAAGGTCTATGTATTGTAGCTATTTTTGTTTACTTGCATAACAGATCACAGTTCACAAACCGTTACCCCTCACTCCACATCATGTGACATATTATAAACAAGACAGTCATCCTACTCCCAAGCAGGTGATAATAGTCAAGGTCACCCGTTATTTTAGTAGGGGGGGGGGGGGAGCAAACATTATACCTTAGGTAAAATGTCATAAAAATTAGAGTGCAAAAAAATTTCTAGACCAATAAAAAGTTTGGGTGCTACCTACATTATTTCCTTTGAAGATTACTATTAGATTGTTCAAATATTTTTCTCAGTCATTGCAGTTCTACCAATAAAAAGTTTGTGCAATATGAACAAGCAACCAGTACTTTTTATTTTCAATTTGGGAATTTTGTTAGTAACATAAATGATTTAAGTCAGTAGAATTTCAGAAACTGACAGCCAATTACAAAATCACCAAAGTTGCAATATGACATAATAAACAAGAATGACAGATTATAAGTTATAACACTATGACATGACAAACTGAAGTATCATCCCAATACATGAAGCAACAATATCAAGACACTGACAGTGATAACATACAGGATGGTCAATGAAGACTGAGCTGGTGCTATACAATGACATCATCAAAAATGACATCATTAACAATTACATCATCAACAATGGCGTCATACGTCAGTGCGATCCAGGCCCTGGGTAACTTCCGAAAGCTCTCAGAAAATGCCTTTACATTTTATTTTTTAAATTGTGAATTGATGAGAATGGGTGTATATACTCAGAAATACAAGGGCGCTGTTCGTTTAATAACAATAACATTGTTTTTTCTTTTTTTTAACCAACCTTCTATTACAGCACTATGAAAGTGACAGCTTCAATGATATCATCATTTTTAATCTTTCCAAATCAATTATGTGATACTTCAAACTTTCCGGTGAAAACATCACATATGTCAATTCTGGGATAATTTTTTTTAATTCAAAGAGCTATATCATTTTAGTTAGGCACTTGAAATTTATAAACCAATCCTGAGATATATAAATTTTGTTAGCAATGTTAAATATTAGCATTTGCTAAATGTAGCCACATTGTACACTGTAAGGCACAAGTGGTGCAAGGGCATTAAAAAAAAGGGGGGGGGGCAATAGGTTTTCTCTTTTTTATATAAATTAACCCCCTTCCTTGATGCATAAACATTTACCCTGTCAACTGACTTCATTAACCATTCATGTGACATGTTTACTGTATTTCATATCACATTATGCATATCTACAAATAACAGATTAACTAATATGCCAAACCCGAGACCTTGTTAACTGATTAGTTGCAATCAACAATCAGCATGTGATCAGACGTGGTTTAATAACTAACAGCAATTCCATTGAAACGTGCATTTTAAAATGCAACTTGCTGCTGTTTATGCCACACCCAGTATATGTACATACATTTTTACTTTATTAAAATATCCCAATTGATTCAGTGATTTTGTTTCCAGTAAACAATGCCGAATGGTGACACTCAAAGATTTAACTAACAATTTAATGTACTGAGAGTTCTGAGGAGAATATCCACTTATTTGCCACAGGTATTGAAGGGGGCATACAATCACCAACTTAAGCCCCACTGTACAGCTTAACGTGATTCCCCACTATCAAGCACCTGCCTACATGTCTGTGCATGTCATCAATTGGTCAGCATGGTAATCACATGTTGTTAAACAGGGGAAGAAAGTAGAAATTATGATAAAATAATTGCTGAGGGGAGAAAAAGCATTGCATGTGTGTGCATATCAGGATTTCTGCACTCTAGTATTGTTGTTTACAAGGAAACCATTCACACTTGGTTGAACATGCTCATCAGCACCTGTGGATTTGTTTTAAAATGGTGTGTTATTAGTTAATGGAGGATTGCATATATCCCTGCTCTTCTCTAATGGAAGTTTGCCCTTCAGCAGCAAATTAATACAAAGAAACTCAAAGTTATTCCGGAATGTTAATTACACATTTAGAGTAATAAAATTGTATTTGATAAAATCTCATGTCAACACTGAAAAAGACCCATAAAATGCTGAAAATTTACCCTCCATTTGCATTCATGATGACATAAAGACATAAATGTAGATAGTATTCATAAATATATCATACCATGAATATCAATGGTGGGAAAACATTCATCAATGACACAAACACAAAAAAGACATGCATATGAACAACAATGCACATGCTTTAATCATAATTTACTCATATGAAGCAGAAAGTGTGCAAGTGCACACACACACACACACACACATCCCCATATTTCACACTACCTACCAGCCCATACACCCTGATGAAATAGGAGCGTTTCTCGTTGTCCTTGATGAACATGGCTACCCCAGTGCAGCGTTTGCTCCATCTGTTGAGGGCAGGGGGATTGCTGGCCAGAAACACCTGTACCACTGCAGTCGCAACAGTCTGTAATATGGACAAGAAATTGACAATATACATGTATACATGTGCATTAATATCAAGAGCTATTATGTATGACATACACATTAAAAATTAATGTTTAGAGCTATTTTCAAGTTTGAAGAATGATTATTTCTTTTGAGATGTGCAGTAAATTTGAAACATATATATGGGTATATTGGTGAATGTATGTTTAGGGCATTGAAAAACACTCTTATTTCTCAAAAATCAGCATTTCTTACTTTCTTTTTTTTTTGCATTTTTTTCTTTTTTAATCTAAAGTAAGTGAAGAGAAAAAGCAACCCTCAAGTTGCAAAGCTGGCTTAGCATCCCATGGTGAAAGTGAAAGTGCACAGTCCCTCTTCAAAAGTTGTTCAATGTCAAAGCCCTGGTTTAACCTCCCCTTTACCAAAGATGCTCCCTAATTACCAAGCTTGTTAAAATCCCTGTCTAAAAGTTCAAGCACCACAGAAGTAGTGACCCAGAAAATAGAATTTTGTCAATAGAGGGCCAAACAGGTTTCACACAATCCCTCTCAATGCGGATCCACAAAATAACTGCTTCTTATCCACATCATGAGATATCTACGTCAGCAGTTATATAAAATGAAGAAAAAACCTATTCATGCAATTTATCGCTGCGTGCACCTTAAAGAGGACGCTTAAATGTGGCGAAAATTCTTCTATCTGATCAGACCTTAATCGACGGCCCCTGGATATACGCATGTAATGCCACTCCTTGCAGGAAAAATACTTCAATAACAATTTTTGAATTGAAATAGTGACAATCCTTTTGCATCCCGTCAAATCAGTGATTTCGGAATGCAGTAAGCTGCAAATTGAATCGGTGTTTATTCTCTTGTATAAGCTATCAACCAACAGTTACTATTGATGATTCAGAATATTCTTCCTATCATAATGCTTATTCTCGTTTTTTTATTTTTTATTTTATTTTATTTATTATTATTATTATTATTATTTTTTTTTTTTGAGAAGTTCATTTCCCAGAATTCTCACGTAAAATCAATTTTACTAGTTATTTTGCCTGTTCTTTTTCTTTTTACTAACAGTAGTGCATACTTGTAATCAATTTGTCAATATGTCTCCTTTATGTAGTTTAGGGGAGAGGGGGTAGGTACTTAGGCCAGCATCCCTCTCTCCGACCACCCCCTCCCCCTTAGGACTACCAGTATCAACTAACTATGATTCACAATCATAAAGTCACTCTTCAAACAATCTAACCAGGCTACAGTACGTTTCCGGCCATCTTAAGTTATCAGTGGTTTCAAAATTATCTAATGATCCTTATGATGTTGACATTCCGTCCTTATCACTTACATTGAAGTTATGAATACAAGAGACTCGTGGTTTTCAAAGAAGTCTATCTAATATCTTCATCCACTACAAAGAGCACTCAGTCCTGGGTGGACCCCACCCACTTCTAGTCAAAGCTTACAACTAGGCAAGATAAGGACCAATATGATACACAAAGAATGGCAGAAACATTTGTGATATCTTCTGGTTACCTACCATCACCAAAGAAGTCAATTTTCTTCTCCATCAAGCCCATCTGTTTACATTATGATTTATAAATTTATTAAAGCACAAAATGTGTCTCAGTTACATTAACATATTCTCTATTTTGAATTCATTTCCAAATCAGTAATTCATCAGTAACAAATAGATGGTAGAAAATTAAGTATATGCCAGAATGGTAATGCAGTTCAATTGTAAAGTGCATATGAAAATCCTTAGGTTAAAAATCTTGTTTTTCATAGTTTCCTTCTTGAATACTCAACCCATTGCACTAACTTGATATATATGTACATGTACTGTAGAACTAGTAATGAACTCAATCTCATTTATTCCCTTAACCTCTAGCCAATTTTCTTCCACAGTGGAAATGAGATATGCTTCACTTCTAAATACATTAATATTTAGAATTTTGAAATGAATGAGATGTCTGAATCCTTTGTGTATGGTTTCTGCAAGAAACAATAATTCCATCAATGAGTTTGGAACTTAATTTCAGTAACCATAACTCTTCTGGGAACTGCTTTCAGTTTCAATTTTCATCTGGCACACTCTGGCATTTTAATGAACCAATTATCTGAGGCCCATTAATTAAGTTAGCAGCTAACGATGAATCCATCTGTTTATAAACTGCTGTTCCTGTTTCGTGCCACCAATAATTAACTCAGTGTCATCAGTCAAACCCAATAAGAGCACAGCAGTTACAAATGTCAAATTAATTCATAATTATAAAGGACTTTTGTAATGAACAATGAGCAATATTTTATACAAAGTGCAAAAACATTTGACAAGATAGAGCTGAACTTTTCTTTTGTGTTATAAGTTACGACTCAATTTCAGCAATGTACTAATGAGGATAAATTCTTTGAACTGTTCACTTCCTAAAGTACCACTATTATAATCAATTTATAGAGGTTTCTACAGAGTAAGCTGAAGGGGATTCAGAACCTGTGGTGATTATGTGTAAATATGTACCAACTAAAGCCAGGGTTAAACCTTAATACCAATTTGAAGATGTAAAAACATCATTTCTGCTCTGGAAACAACCTCAAATACATTGACACAAATTTATACAGATCAGATAATTATATTATGAACATATACAATTCTTATATATACATGGTAATCTTAATTGATCCACACTGATCTTATAATTAGTAATCTGCACACTGTCTTTTTCACTATAAACAATAGTAACTGAAGTAATTGAACTTCATAAATAAATAAATAAATAAATAAATAAATAAATAAAATACTTATTTTGATGGATGCGCCACATTATTTTCTATCTTTTGGAAGAAAAACAGAAAAACTCTTTTCTAGCACATCACATAACTGACAGACAGTGATGGTTAGGGTATGTGATAATTAACCCTAGGGGAACAGGGTCAGCCCTGCCTTAATTACTACCATTAATTAGCTAGTTATCAGTAAGAGCACCTGCCATGAAATTTGACCTGATACAGTACATGCGTTTTACTCTGAAACCAGAAGAGATCAAATGAGGATGAGTCCTTCACGTGAACTGGACTTGGAAGGAAAAGCTTACAATACAGTACATTACAATACAGCCACCCTTTCCCATCATTCAAACTTCTACTGGGGAGGGGTGGGTGGGGGGTGGTCATGTCTCCAATTGCATTTGAAAGACAGCTTTTCAGGAGAAAAAGGGATTACTATGGTAATTATTAATTAATTCTTGGGTCCCAAATATTTTTGAAATAATTTTCGTATTTTTCCTTGACTGATGTCTGCACTCTTTAGTATTCTGACGCATAGATTTTAAAAGCCTTCCTTTATGTCTTGACAGTAGGAGTGAAGCCATAGGAACTAGCCAATATCAACTGGATTTTACTTGTCAATAAGATGCCAGCTAATAGAAACTACTTTATCTGCAAGGAAACAATCCTCATTCTATAAATAACCTTGTTTTTGGTTATGAATACTGGCAAAATAAGATGACATTCTACCAGGTAAACAGCTCTTTCAAGAAACAAACAGCACATGTGCATTTCAAAAGATATAGATTTTCTATCTTCCCAACTCTGTGAAGCCCATTGCTTTGCAAAATACTTTAGTGGCATCAACTCTGCCTCAGGTAAGAAAGCTGTGTAGCCCCATTGTTTACCATTTCCTGACTTATTTTTGTCTTCATTATGATGAGGAAACTGCTGTTTATAACAACCACTGCATTCAAAACAACACAAACTCATAAACATCCTGATGAGCTGTGGTGGTTCTAGATAACAATCTACCTCTGTACCTTTGATCAGCAGCTTGTCCACACCAACTAGATTCAGAACAATAAAAAGGGAACAGCTAAACACAGTTTTAAGATTTAGAGCTGACGTCTCAAATCTTCTGATGTACAGATACCTATAATTTACAGCCCTTACATCTCTTTAACAAGGTAGCCATTAGCAACAATAATTGCTTGGGTTTACCTCTATGGGTTTTTACCTATCCAAAATAAGGTAGTAATTAATAGCTTTCCTACTTGTTATCAGATTGCATACATACATCATTCAAATGTAGCTTCAGAATCTTTTACATTCTCGTTTCATCTTGTTGGATAGCTTTTTGCCTTTCAGTGGGTTATTTTATTCCATAAAGTAGAAACCATTAAGAGGAATTTGTTGTTTTGTTTTGCAAACTAGCTTATAGTAATTAGTTTGAGGAAAAAAATAACGCAGGTCCCCTAATGCACAGTTTGCTTAGCATTTGATTCTGACAGATCAAAAATGATATTCTTGCCTGTAAATAAATTTTGGAGCAAAGAAAATATTAAAAAATAATGCAACGATAAAGGTATTTGTCAGCAATTCTAAAAGGACACTTCTCACTTATTAATACCACACTCAAAGCACTTTGATAGCAATTGAAATATTTATAAAATTCATACATTAAAATATTTAGAGGATGATGTCAACTTTTTAATTAAGGGCAGGGCATCATCAACACAACTGCGTTAAAACCTACCACACAGCGATTTCCAATTAAGTTAAACAGGATTTCGTTCTCGTTGGGTGCCAGAATGAGAGACGGGCTATTCTGAGGTCTTGGTTTTTTAGGCTGGTTTGACATAGCGGCGAAATTATTGTAAAAATCTTCAAATGTTCACTCTATCACTACTTCCTACTCCTTAAGCATCATCACGCATGCGCTACAGATTATCTGAGTTCCGGCAAAGTATAAAGCAAAGTAGCGCGTGCTTTAAAAGGGTAAAGCCGTTTCCTTTGTTTTAAATGTTGAAACTTTCAATGATTTATTGCTAATTATTCTTTATCTTTTAATTTAAGCTATGGCGTATTCATTTGTTTCCTTACAATGAAAGTGGCAATTTTATGTAATATGGCGTATGAATATCTGCGGGGGGCAGGTCAGAGGTCACAGCACCTGACAGGTCAACTTTGACGAGGTTGAAATCCACAACACAATGAAAGGTGGCGGTGTTTACTTAGTAGGTCGCTCCGCCTCCTGCCGGCTGATCGTTATGCTAACACGTCGATAGCCACGAGACTTCACCGATATCTGACATGCAAAACAGGCAGTGAGGAAGTGAGTGTAGCCAGTTGGTATTATGTGTGTGAGCCGGTAGCATACAGATTTCCCTCACTCTGCGGATAACTTTAATTTATGATTCATTACACTGAGGAAAACACTCGGAGTGTTGGGACTGCATCGGGGGTATTAAGGCCCGATAATTTTACACGGAGTTACTGAAGATTTTGTTAATGAGATGAAATTTGAAGAACATATCGGGACTAATATTGATATGACAGGAGGAAGAGAAGGAGGCCTTCTACCAGTGAGCATGTCGACACCACAGCAAATTGTGAGACATGTCCACAAACACAACCTAAGACAGCGGTTTGAGCTGGTCAAAACCCTTGGACAGGGGACGTATGGGAAAGTGAAACTTGCCATTGATAGAGCGACGGGACAACAGGTAAGACAGCTGTCCTTGACGTACAAGATGGGCACACACACGCTTACAAGAACACACACACACACACACTCCGCTCTCACACACACACTGAGAGAGATTTATGAGGAAATGAATGTGTTATAACTGCAATGAAAATCGTGATAATTTTAATTTTTAGTTTTTTATCAATTACAACAAGATGAGGTAATTTCAAAATATTTTGGGGTGATTGCATTTTTCAAAGTTAAGATTTGATATTACAATTATATGCAATTTTCCTGTATATAAATTCACCGTTGGCAATAAGTTTGACACATAAATCATATGTAATAAAGTAATAGCCCATAGGCAAATGTTTAACCATATTGAACAAATGCAGTTTATGGACCACCAATGAAATAAAAAATCAAAGCATACGTTAATTAGAATATGGCAATAAATCACAAAATTATGAAAATATAATTATTTCAAAGAAAAAAAAATACAATACTTTGCTGTATGCGAAAGTTGGAAATTTTTTTTCCTAAATCTGTTTCCTTTGTTTTCTTTGACACCCATCATAAATAATCAACCTCTTTATATCCTGGTGCAATGCTGATCCTGTAGATGTATTTATGATAAGGGCCCCGTAACCCAGCTATATATCATGGAAAGTGCAAGATAGTTATGCCAGATAGCAGAATATCTCAGTAAGCTAGACAAATCTTCATTGTTCTCTTAAGTGCGGTCTTCAACCCCGAGACTGAGTTTTCACCCAAGTACACAAGGGTTGTGGAAGATCTTAAATGGTAGATGAGTTTGTGTATACTATTTCAACATTACAAAGACACTGTCATTATTAGATGTGTTAACTTATATATCTAAATCTGTAACAGACATACACATGGCTAAGGCAAGGCTGGTGGCAGCCAACCCGACAGCCGGTCTGACAAGAAAATGTTGCCACTTAGTGAGGTGATATTAGCACATGCGGCTTAGCTTGAGTCCTAATGGCACTTAATATCCCCAGCTGTGCTGAGAACTGGTTATAGGACCATTAACATAACTATATCCCACTGTGGTTTACTATACTTGAGTTTTTTGTCCTTATTTGAGATGTATAAAAAAAAAAAAAATGAATGAGTTTATCTCCCTGGCAGGGATTATATAATATGTGGTCTTATTTGTTGTTTTGAAATCTTTAACTTATAACAGTCACATTTTTTACCACATAGACATATATATTTTTCTGAGACAGAGGAGGGGGGGGGGTTGTATTGAAATTGGGAAATGATGAATGTAGCCCATGACATCAAGGTAATTAGTATATCACTTGGGACAAACTTAATTTAAAGGAAAAAATAAGCATAAAAATTTAAAAAAATCAAAAATTATAATAGAGTCCATCAAGTGGAATATCTTGAAGCAAGTTGCAACTTTCTAAAAGGTTCTCTGTCCGTAAGCATCTCCATTCTGAAGTCCCTGGGGGTGGTTATACCATCCAGTGTAACAAGTGTCCATGTACCCCAGGTATTCCCCAGGTCCCCCCCTGTCTCCCCCTGTCTGCACTGGTCTGTGCACAAACACCTGTACATTAAGGTGCCAGTGTTATCAGACTGCCGTAACGCCTGAAAGTGAAAGCCGGCCATTGTGGAGATCTGATGAGTGTGCAAACACACCATCTGGATGATTGAGCGCGAATGGGTTTGCGTACGTGGCAGCTTTTATTCTCATAGGGCCCTGGAAGCTTCGGTATTTCACCGTTGAAAAGCCGTCGAGGTTGGCGAAACTTTGAGGGGGTAGCCTTGTACTGGTTTAAGCCCTTCGTTTAGCTAATTGTTGATCTTGACATAATAAAACCAGGTTAAAATAGGTGGACCAACGTAGGGGACATTTTACATAATGGCCAGTTTAGGCCAAGCACCCCATTGGTCAGTCTCTTGACCGGAGTATTTACTGGTTGAGAGAGTTAAGCACATTTACCAACGGACAGCTCCTTATGCAACATTGTCAAAGCGTGAAATGTTATGGGATAATATAAACATTACGTCAGCTTACAAACAGCACAGTACTTGGCATGTATTGATTTTTCTCGACTGTATGGCTGTAAAAATGTCTGTCACAAGGCTGATGCAAGGCAAAGATGAAATGCATGTGTAATATTTTAGGTCATATACCAGTAGAGTATGTGTCCAATAAAAAAAGGTCTGAAAATTTTCTGACCTCAGAATTTTTTATGAGATAAAGGTAGTAAATATGTTACACTTGGGTCAGGAGCAAGAAACAAAACTGGTCAAAAATTGGATGACTACAAAAAAAAATTTTTTAAATNGAGTCCTAGGACTTTCCATACTGAAATAGAGTGTCTAGGGGGACTCTACATTTCAGAACATAGAGTCCGGGACCCGTTATTTCGAGACAGGGAGTCCGCCGGACTCTCAGTTTTAAAACACCGGGTCCGCCGGACCCTAGAATGGTAGGACTCTGTGTTGCTTGACACCGGTGTGGCAGGAGTGCACGTCCTAGTACCGCAAGTCCGCCCGGACACGAAGTCCTGGAAATGCAAGTCCTGGGGCATGCTTTGCTAGGAATGACAGTCCTAGGACATACGTTTACTAGGATTAACTAGGACGAAGGCTCCCAGGTTATCAAGTCCTACGTGTAGTAATGCACGTGCTAAATGGACATGCGTTCCTAACATTTTAGTAATTAACGCATATATATAGTTTACACAGAGGAATGACAAGAATAAAAATATATAGAGATATACTAGATTTAAAGATATAATGAACAAGTTCATTTTATTTTGATGTTTTATTTTCCGATAGGCAGTTTACATGCATATTAATGAAGTAACACAAACTACACGGTTCCCATAGTTTTTCTTCAATTATTTTATTATGTGTATGTTTCTTGTAGTAAACGCAATTTTTACATGTCATTGACCTTCTTAGGTCTTCAATTGAGGGGAAAATAACTACACAAGAAAACGGGATCTCCGTTCTTAGACTAATTTACAGTATTTTTCGGTTTACACTCGCAGAAATCGAAAAATAACTTCAAACTCAGTGGAAAGTTGTTCTTGGAAAGAGGATTTAAGACAAATCAATGCAGTTTAGAATTTGAAATTATATATAATGTTCTGTTATATTCCTTTGGTATTTTGGCGCATTGAGGCTTTAAAAACTAGTTTAAGTGTAATCACATAATTGAGAATATTATTCATTAAAAACAACAACATACGACTAGCTAGAACAAGTTAATTGAGGTGGGGGTTGGGTAAGGTCAGGTCAAAGGTAGGTCTCCAACCCAAGTATGTAACAAGACGATTCATGAATACATACCTAATAGTCTTGCACGCTAACCACTACACAGACGAGCTGAAATTGCAAACCTTCCATTGTTTGTCTTATATTTGGCTCACCAGAAAGTTTTTCGTATACATTTATAATTGTATCATTTAACGATGTTATTGCATAAGGATAGGACTTAAAAATGGCCAGGCTTACATTACTGTCATAGGTAACAGGAATAAAAGTCCGCCAGTAATACAAGTCCTACCTACTATAATTATGAGGTAGGAGCCTAAGTCCCACTAGGACTACTATTCCCAAGTAATGGTAGTCCTGCGGACACCCATTACCAGGAACCGAAGTCCTGGGGGGACTTGGATTACCGTTACACCGGCTTTCGATAGCCAAAAACGCGATATTTCATCATAGCTCAAATTTCAAGTCAAGGTTGATGTTCTTCATCCTCTTGCAGAATATCTTATTGAACTCCTCGTTCTGAGCCACTGTGAAATGATTCTTCCAATCTCCCACCGTGCCTGAAAACAAACAAATAAATAAGTGAAAGGAAATGAACCTAGTAAAAGCGACTCTATCACAAGGTATATTTAACAAGCTAGCTTTTACGTTGCTCTGACACTCAGGGTATGGGAGTGGGACACACACGGAAATATACCAATGAAGCTTTCTGAAAAAACATAACACTCACACACAAAAGCAAATTAAATAAATTATTTTGATATTACTCCTCCGAAAGAAAGGATGGAGTCTCATTCTGCACCGAGGTTAGCAATAGGCCCCCTACCTTTCCTAAAAATGCCTTCGCTATCCTCTGCCCAGACACTTCTGACATCTTTCTTGTCTTTCTTCATATGCTGAAAAGAGCATAGTCTAGCCACGTCGCTGTAGAACTGCTCTGATTTTTCATGTCCCAAAAACTGGGCCACTAGACGCACTTGTTTCTTAAGGTCCTGAAATAAAACAAACCGGTGATAGCCATTAAGCTATGTTCAGTAATGAATAAAATTATCTAGGTACATGAAGATTGTATGGTGCAAGGTCCACTTTTTCAGAAAAAGACCACTTCCCTCCTTTGAAATTCCTGGCTAAGGACTACTGTAGAGCCGCATTTTGCAACCGGTTGCAAAATGCGTTCAGTTGCAAAATGCGGTCCTACTAAGTAGAGCCGCATTTTGCAACTGAACGCATTCTGCAACTGTAACGCATTTTGCAACAAAAGAAAATCGTGAAAACCGCATTTTGCAACCGGTTGCAAAATGCGGCTCTACAAAGGCCACCTTATCCAGAGTGGAGAACACAGCACAAGATGAACAAAAAAACTNGCTGAAACCGGCCAGGCTGCCCCTGGGGTGGAAAAAAATATAAAACTTATTGCACATTGTAATTTCCTAAATCATTAGAGTTAGGAACTCTAATTTTTTGTTTTTGTTTTTGTTTTTTTTTTAATTGGGGGTGTGGCCGTCCCTAGGGGTGGTTGATTGTACTTTTTACTCCGTATTTTTCTCCTATCTACCATTATATCTTCAGAATTAGGAAATAAAAACGTTTGGGATTAATACACTATCGTAAGAAATGTGCCTGGGCACTTCGGAAATTTATTGTGACATGGGTGTGGTTGTCCCTGGGAGTGGTTGATTCTTATTTTACAACGTATTTTCTGCTATCTGCCCATTGTATCGGCCATTTGAGTTAAAGCATGAAACGTAGCTACAGTATAATTTGGGATGTTGAACGGCATTTAATTTTTTTGACTATGGTGGTGGTCCTGGGGGTGGTTGAATATAATCAGACGTTGTAATTTCTGCTATCTACCTTTACACCATATAAGTTAGGAACAGAAGGCTATGGGAATTGAAAACATGTCTTTAGGGATATGGATCCTTCTGATGGGTGTGGCCGTCCCTGGGGGTGGTTGATTCTATTTTTTGCACCGTTACTTCTACTATCTACCCTTAGATTTAGGAACATGAAATGTTGGGGATTGATAATGAATGTACATGGGTCTTTGAGGAACGTAGAGAACAGCAGCGGCGCACATAGCACTAAACGGACTTACAGTCGTAGGCATGAATATAGGTCAAGGAATCCAGTTAAAGCTGTCCTTTTGACCCATGCCAACCATAAGGCCCTACACACTCAGGAATCCTGGCGTTCAACTAGCCGTTGTGTCTTAATACAAAACAAATATGTTAATTAATCATAAATAGTAATTAGCATGTGTGTTGCTCTACAGAGGCTATGCCTGAAAGTATGGGGTCTTGCATGGGTTTTTAATTAACTTGACCTATATTCAAGCATACCGCTGAAGGTCTGTTATTAAGTGCCGTCTGCTGCGTTCTTTGCATTCCCCTTCCTTCTTAACTCGAAGACAGCTTTCAGATTCACACATCCTACTAGCTGGGTCGGTCCAACTCTGCAGGGGATCTCACTTAATTGTCTGACATACCACCAATCACCCCATCCCCTGAGGGACAGTCACACCCAAAGTCACACTAAAATTCCCCTGTACCCATGCACCAAAGACTCGTGCTCGTAACTCGAATGGTCGGGAAGGAGATGAAAGAAATTACGGTGAAAATATTACAGTCAAGTAACTATCCCCAGGGACGACCACTCCCCAAGTGAACAAAAATTCCGATGTGCCCAAGCACATCTCTAACGATCTCAACCACCCCCAGGGACAACTACACCCCAAGTCACAAAAAATGTGCGTGCGCACATTTCTTACGATGGTGTTAATCCCCAACGCTTTTATTTCCTTATTCTAAAGATAAAAGGGTAGATAACAGAAAATACAATGTAAAATTACAATCAACCACCCCTAGGGACGGCCACACCCCTATGTGCATGCCTAACAATATCTTTTTTACTCCCTGACGTTTCAACCTCCTAACTCTAATGGTTTAGGAAATTACAATGTGAAATAAGTTTTATATTATCGTCCACCCCAGGGGAAGCCTGGCCAGTTTCAGCATACATAGTCGAAGCAAACCCGTCCCCACTCCAGTTCTACCCGTAGCCTACCTGTCTAGTACTTCAAGCTGTTTCAGGGACTTTGAAAAAAATCCTGGTTGCAAAATGAGTTGCGGTTGCAAAATGCGTTTTCACGATTTTCTTTGGTTGCAAAATGCGTTGCAGTTGCAAAATGCGTTGCAGTTGCAAAATGCGTTGCAGTTGCAAAATGCGGCTCTACTTAGTAAGGCCGCATTTTGCAACTGAACGCATTTTGCAACCGGTTGCAAAATGCGGTCGGTTGCAAAATGCGGCTCTACACTACCCCTCGCATCTTTAAATGATAAAATCGGCAAAGTGAAACAAGAAAAATGACATGTCCACTGCTATCCGCATATTGCAGTTATATTGTCGCCGTGTACTTTGTTCATCTTTGTCCCTTTGTTGGACCCCCTCCCCCCTCTGTCCCCCTTTCCTCTCCCCTAGCAAGCCATTCATCCACCATTGAGAAAACCCGCACTTTTCTTACCATTTGCATGTCTTCATACGTCACAATGAGGGCGTTTGGATTGTTCTCCAGAACTTTCAACCATTCTTCCACGTGGTCGAACCAGTCGCCATATTGAGCTGAAACGAGAGGTGCATGGGTGCTAATTATAACGTAAGCATTTCTGAAACAATCGATAGACGGCGCTCGTGTCATTAATAGCGAAGTACAGGTAGCGGCGCCAGTAGAGAAACCTCACCGACATGTTGTAGATCTGGGAGATGTCTCACAACGGTTATTGCAACTACTTTGGTCTATATCGCCCCATGGTAATATGCAGTAACCCATTATTGATGCATTCAAATGTTCAAATGCAGTTGGAGTATTAGATGGTTCAGTGAAATACAATTAAAACGTGGAAATAGGGTTTTGATTGTGTGTGTGTGTTGTGTGTGTGGGGGGGGGGGTAGAGAGTATAACGTAAAAAGCACTATATCATACAGAGTATAGAGTGCAAAAGAAAAAAATGGTTTTGTTCAATTCACTCGTTACCACTACTGAGTCAACACGAAAGTGGTAAAGAGAGCCACTTCAGGGGCAGGGGTTACTTCTGGCTTTCAGATTTTACCTTTGCCGTTCACCAGCAGTTCATACATCCCGTTCCAAGAGCAGTTCGCTGACTTCGGCTCCATACCTGTTGCGTGATAATATAAAGACACAAATGCATCCTTTGGGTTACGAACAACGTAGATTATCTTGCTATTCAGCGCTACCTTTGGGAAAAGTTTTAGAGGCACATGTGTATTCAGGACACGCGGTGACGCCATCTTTTCTATTACGTGGAGCGGACACAGTTCCGGAAACATGGTGCCTCCTTTAGAAGAGTCATTTAATTCTGCCCGCCCAGAAGTTATCATCTTGACTATTTCCCACATCCAATGTGTGCCTGTTAAAATAAATCAAAATGTTGATAAACCGCAGGTTCATACATCGAAAGGATAACGGGAATGATATATATAGGTGTGCCACTTTTGTGACTTTAAAAGCGCATCAGACCAGATGATCCGTTTATAGTTTTCCTGCCTCCACACGCGTAGAGGGGGGGGGGGGGGGCGCTTTTTTAATGAGGTTGGCCATATTTAGTCGGCGGATCAATAACTCCACGGGTCATCTGCTCTGAATGCGCGTTAAGTGCGATGTGCGACATTTTAAGAAGTCAAAACATTTACGACAACAATAACCTCCCCTTTTCCGTACCTGATTTTGGCCAATTAACTACCCATATATCGTCATTGCGGGCCTTGAATCCATCCTGTTCCAATAAGTTAGCATGCATTGACGGGAAGGGAGGCAGCGGCACTCCTTGAATATACATCACCCGGGCACTGCCACCGTAACTGTCGCTTACATCTTTATAAACTGGACCTTTAAAAATCAGCCCCAACATTCCGTTCTTCATGCCAGCCAAGAACACCGGTCGGAGATCCGGAAACGTGTACAGATCCACCAAGATGATGTAAAGCCGCCTGAAGAACGATCTTATTGCCTTCAGAACCATTTTCCAGCTGGTAGTGGCCTAAAATATTATATTACAGTTTACAAATTGTAAGAATAAACAGTAATCCTTTACGGCAATCCCCTATGTATCCTATAGACCCCCTAACCCCGGATCGTCTAGCTATCAGACGCCTTGTAGGACGAACGTCATGAGGGAATCGCAAGGCCTATATAGGACCTTGTAAGATTTCGGGGCAATTTCATATTGGGTCTAATTTTTGTTAGGGTCATCAGCTATGTGAGCTTTTACTGTAAATGTAAAATATGCATGACTTTTGGCGTAAAGGCGTTTGGCTTCCTTGAGACTCTCCGCGTGATAGAGCTTCGGTTTGTTGAAAGCAGGTTACTCGTTTTATGCTTTAAACTCCAGTAAAAGCGACCATTCATTTATATACCACAATTGGTCGTTATATTAAATAAACGTTTTGTTTTGGTCGTATTTTTATTTAAAAAAATTATAGCTACACTGCATGTAAAAGGTGTGATCCACTCCAAGCACCTTTTTTGGGGGTAAAACTGCACGGCGGGGTAGTTCATTGTGTCTGACAACTCTGAACACGGATGATAAAGACCAAGTTTATGATTAATGATGACAAAACTGAGATCCTTGCAATAATTCAGCCACACAATAAGAAGTTAGCTGAGAATCTTAGTATAAGAATTGGACACGTACATTTCTCGGTGTTTATCTTGACTCTGCTTTATTTATATGGAGAGAAAATCTCTCAATCACTCCAGTCATGCACGTCCAAATTATGTGACAAAGTTTCTTTCAGGGACAATTTGAGTAAATCTACCACTGCTATACCATCAACAACGCTCAAGTCACATCCTGGGGGGGGGGGGGGGGGGGGGGNGTTGCAAAATGCGGCTCTACACCCCTTCCCCTTGCACACGACTTTTTTTCTCTCAGAAACGCCCATATAATCAACCACGAACATTTATGTAGACAGAGATAAACGTAGTTTAGTAACATCTTTTATGGTCTTATGTTTTCAGTGATGTTAAAACAAAGGACAAACGTACATTCTTTCTCTTCAATTTATTGCAGTTTACATATCCGGACACACGTACACCTAAAGTATCTCCAATCCCTTCCAGTTTAAATATATACATCAATTACACGCCATTATAATAGCTAATGAATGCTTTCGGGACTTAACGCGTCCTATAGTATTGTTTGTATGAAACCCTCATAAATCATGTGGTTTTAACATTAAGACCCCATTCCCAGAGATTAGATCGATCCAACTAGATCGACCTAACTCCCTGGGGGTTCACGCTAAATAGCTGTCAGCCGAGCGGGTACGAAAGTGAATTACCCCCTTACAGCTTGTAGAAGGCGGGACGGACATTTAAGTCGGATTATCTGACAGTAATCTAGTGAGACTCCCCGCGGGGATAGATCGATCTAAAATCTATGGGAATGCACCCTAATTTTCATACCGTTTTACTTCAGGACGCAGGATACAGAGAACGACATGCCGGGCAACAAGATGTCCCTAGCGTACCCATCTATGGTAGGCGGGAACCCTGGGAAGAGCGTGATGACGCAATCCTTCTGCATGAAGTCTGACGTCACAGATGACGGTGACCCTGTCACGTGGCCCGCTGGCGAATACTGTATTTATAGGTACAAGGGATCATGTCCTAAAGGTTGGTAATAAAAGATGGCGCTTTTTGCCTTGGTACTTGTTTAAGAAGGAATTGGTGTGTGCTATATTTGCTCTTTTATATAGGGATGAAAACAAAGTTAAAAAGATATGTCCTATGGATCAACTCTTTTATTCACATATAAATGTAATATTATAATTACCAACGTGTAAAAATATCTGAATTGACTCTCATATTCTCAAATTCTTGCAGACTTCGACGTCGGATTCATCCAATGGGACGATGAAAACACCAACAACAAAAACAGCCGATCTGGAGAACTTCCAGACGGTTTTTACGGGACAAACACACAGATCGAGTTCTGCTGCCGGACTGACGGCAAATGGTCTGATGACGTCACTCTTCCGACAGCAGAACCCTTCCTCCTTTTACAGAAGAACCCCACGGACTGTCAGCGGGTAGCAGGCATGGATGCGAGCCAGACGTGGTTTCAGTGGGACACGGAAGACGAGACGCGCGGCGCCAGCTCAGCGGGATCTGTCCCTTATAACGGAGTCACGAAGGACGGGGAGGTTAAGCTTCACTACTGCACTTATTTTCCTTCTAAGCGTCGATGATCTCATTTCGACCCTTTTTTCTACAAAATGCTCATTTCTTTTATTAATCTTTAAAAACGGTCTTGTTTTCATTTACTCGCGCGTGTAGCATCGTCTCTTTCACAATAATAGCGTTAGTTCTGAAAAAAGGTTCGTAATCTTGAATGAACTGGAAATCGGTTCGAATATTACGAAACTTCACGGTATGTAGGCGTCTTGATCAACAGAGGTTGTGCATCATGCAGCACCACAAATCAAAACTTTAGTATCGATCTGCCATAGATTGAAACAGTAAACAAATTTCATCAAAATTTTCCTGGTTAGTATTGATTTTAATAAATAAATTAGTTAATTGATAATAAGAATGTAAATGGTGGTGTGAAAGGAATGACAGTCTGCTAGGAACCGTAGAGACGGTTTCACTTTACCTATATAGGCGACTTTCGCCTTGTACATTTGTATTTAGCCGGATATTACCGGTCTACCCTTTTAATCGTATGAGATCCCAGACTTCCATTCTATTCCTGGGACTAGCATTCCCTCCACACCGGCATACTTTGTTTTGTTATTACCGCGCAAACCCGAAAAATATACATTCTATTTTCTGTTGGAAAAGTACGTCATATTGGAATAATGCCGTGACGGTAGTTAGCATCGAGTATTTTTAGATAAGCGATGCATGAGAATTCTGTGCCGGGAAAAGTGCTAATATTAGATTTTCTTTAGGACCATACTTCAGCCTATAGCTATTTTAAACCATGGCCAGTCACTCTAGTAAATCAACCTTTTCAAGTTTCAAGAGCATGATAGTATATAATTTTTTCTCGCGTTTAAATATCAACTTACCTCAGATTTTTTAATGTTTTATAATTATCATATTATTACCAAATGTGTAAAATGCGCGTGAATTTAAGCACAAAGTCTTTTGATAATGTCGAAGAGGTAATTGTTAGTTTAAGGTAAAAGCGGCGAATTGTTGTCAGAAAATTCTCCCTGTCATCGGTTCCCCCTGGTGCCACATGTATTTACATTACTTTTCTCGCTAGAGTCGAAATATACAAGATATCCTGCTCAATTCTCGCCCAGCAACAGGGATGTATTGTTTAACATGTTCACGTTCTAGGAACTGCAATACGTATAGTCACACCGTTATCAACAGCGAGATATCTCGCTTTTCAGTGGTGAGATATCTCGGTTTTAAGCGTCGTTTTTGTCAATGAGAGGTGATATAATCCGCATATTGCTTATTTTTTGCATTTTTATCTTGAAGACGTACGTTAACAAATATGTTTTGCTACTCCGCTATCAAACGATATGTAGAGAAAATCCGTAATATTTTCATATAAACGATCAAAACTGGTAGTGGTAGGTCACGTCTGTAGGCTGGTTCCACAAGTTGTATTTTCTTGAACGTTTTATACTAAGTATAATTCTACAGCAATATAATAAATCGTATTTCATATACATTTATGAGCTTGTTCGTTTTTGCCACTGATCTCTGTGAAAATTAACATTTAATGTGCATGAAGTCAATTTTTTTTATGATTAGCAAAAAGGTTCATTAGCTTGGTAGCTGGATCATATATTATAATTATCAAACACAAACTGAAAATATTCTTCCTGTCCTTAGCTATACCACCTAGCGGTCAGTGAGTAACAACTCACGTCAGTTAAGATACTTCATGGTATATTTAATACCACTTCATGGGATAAGTGCCCCAATTTTACTGACAAATCCCATGAAGTGGTAATATAAATATCGCAAAGTCCTTATTTTTTAACCAATGAAGTCGCCTTCTATCAAGAAGTAATACTTATCCCATGAAGTGGGAAGTAACTGGACACGCGTCAGTCTGATAAAGTCCAGCGTCCAGTTTGGCCGCAAGCTAAAGGTATGGAGATATTTTCAGCTTGAGTTAAATAATTATCAGATACGAGTTAGCTTTGTTTATAGTCCTACTATTTCAGTTTGTCCTCACATACCTGCGCCAAGACTGCATAAATTCACTGGAAGCTTCTACTTTGTAAATATGGCCATGAGCCCGTGTTTTAATCTTTGTATCGATATTTTTCATTCCTTTTTTAAACATTGGAACAATAATTTAACGAAAATTACCGTCATTCAATCTTTCACTCAACATGTTTAGTAACCAGAAAACACGAGTTTTTAATACTTTTAAATTTATTCAAAGCGTGTACTGGTAATCCAAAAAGTTACCATCAAAAGCTTCTTTCTTCCATTTATATACAGCTACTGATTCTAATATTCACTGCTACTATTTACAATCCTCAGTTCCTCAAAAATTCCAGAAAACCGTAACAATACGATGTCTGCATCTATCTACAATATCATTACAGTAATATGTTTACGTCTCGTGAGCTGTTTTAATCGTCATATCATTGACNAATAATAATGGAACCGCATTTTAATTACAAGACGGCAAAAGGTGGTATTTACAGTTTATCAACATTTTCAAGCCAAGTTTCAGATCTCCACAAGCGAAGTGCTGAGATGTATTGGAACCAGTCTTTCTGTCATAAAAAGTTACAAAAATCAAGTCTTCAAAACAGGTCTCGTCCTATTCGAAACGTCACTACATTACGTAACATTTGGTGTTTGGTGCCTATTTTTAAACTGTGTACTGCAGCGCCTGGGTTTACAGGCTGACATTAAATTACCGTCAACTTTTCTAACAGACCCAGGAACAATGTTACAAGTACACCCCAGTTTTAGAGTTCACTGCTACACACCATTTTCCATGAAAACCTTCAGCCTTGGTTAACATAACTGTCCATATGTATACTGCTGTCTACATATATATATATATATATATATATATATATATATATATATATATATATATATATATATATATAGAGCTATGTATATACTTTATACATCCATATTTTTCAAAAGAAAAGAACTGTTAATATCTGCATATCATTAAAATGTAAATAAAGCTGTGTTACAAAAACTCAGACTATAATGAAGATCTTCCTGGAACATGCACTTGTACTATTCTCAAATGTTCAAACTTTCTTCAGTCTCTATTATGCTCTAACTTTATACATATTTCCATAAAATTTTATGACCATGTGAAGAATTCAGTGACCCCACTCAGCCTCCAACAAGCAAGGCATTTTAACAAACTCCTTGTTACAACCAAACTCCCTGCATTATATCATATCCACCCACAGTTTAACAAACTCCTTGTTACAACCAAACTCCCAGCATTTTATCATATCCACCCACAGTTTAACAAACTCCTTGTTACAACCAAACTCTCAGTTTTATATCATATCCACCCACAGTTTCCAAGTGAATCTCTCTCACTGGACACACACATACATACTAACATCTTTCAATCACATCTCAGCTCGCTAAATCACTCTCCCAGCTAACCCTGCTCATCATGAATTCTAACAAATAGAAGAACAAGCTAGCGTTAAGTAATCTATCCAAGTTTTTTCCAAAGACCAATGTAATGGTTGTAAAGTTAAGAGTGGCCCTACACGTCACTCTGTTTTTTTTTTTTTTTTCAACAATATTTTTCTCCTACTTATCTTTGTACCACAGAAAGAATACCATAAGGATATTGTGACCTGGGAAATAGACGTGCAATTTGAGCACAATATTTACAGCTCTGCTCATACTAGACCTTCTAAAAGTCAATGTACGCACTGCAATATATGAACAGGTCTTTATTGTGACATCTTCATAAACTTTCTTTATCTGCCTTACATGAATAACAGGTTTCTTGCAACTTTCAAAAATATTTTGATATATAATAAACTGCAAATTAATTGTTTCGTAAAATGCTTTACACCTTGGAAGTATACTGTACCTACATCATAATCAACTGCAAGTGAATTCCTTAAAATGTCCAATGCAAGTGACATTATAATTACATGTACACTGTATAAATCATTGGCTCACTCATGCAGTTGGCTAGCAACGATCTCCATACAACATTCAGATAAACACAAATGGCCGCCACCACAAACAAGACTCTTAGGGCAGTGCAGCTGGCAGTTTTAAGCTCAATAAATGCAATATAAAAAAAAGAAAAAAAAGAAAAAAAAAAACATAATCTGTACTGTGACAATAACACTGTACCCACCATAATACGGTTGTATGTTCCTTAACACAACGTGGTAACAATATCTATTTGGTAATGGATGTTCAGTAAAAATTTGAAAATTTCATCACTTAGAAATTAATTAATTTTATTTTTTAAATGTTGGAATCAGACACTGCCGTATTAAGTGATAAACATCAAAATTATCAAGAAGTTCATTCTCAAGTTTGACGAGATTTTCAAAGTTAAAAAATTACTTCTGCAGAGAATCGTCTTCTTACAAAATTTTTAAGCCAACACTAAATTTCCAAGTTTTTACTGTAAATATAAAATAAATAAATAAATAAATAAAAAATAAATAAATAAATAAATAAACAGGTGTCCTAATACTCTAGCTGTTCAAGCACTGGATGGCCACATCCTCTGAGTGACTACAGGAGGAGTGCCGCCCCCACTCAGCTGAGCACTCATGTATGGTCTGTTCATCCCCGCGGCAGTGGAGGCTCCGTAGCCAGATAGGACCTGTGCCCTGGCCGTAGTTGACCTCTCCTGACACCACGCCACGCGGGGAGGGGAGCTGTGTGCCTGTCCCACTGGAATGATAGAGTTATGTTTTAAAGTTACATATAAAGTCGACATGCCAAACTTTAAATCAAATAAATCTCTTGTTCTGCCATTAAATAAATAAAAAAAAAATAAATAAATGAAATGATCTGCATTGTTTTTTTCTATAATAAATCATCTGAAAGTATATGGTGGCATTTTGTTGGATTTTTGGCAAAAATTTGACTCTAAATACACATTTTAGGTATAATGTTTTTCATTCACAAATATAAAAACTCATTGTAGCTACATTCCCCAAGGAAGGTGTCTTGTAAGACACTAAAATATTGCTTTATGAATAACTCAGTGTTAGCTTTCCTATGAGGAGACAATAATAATAATAATAATAATAATAATAATAATAATAAGGACTTACTTGAATCCAGCCATTCTACACAATACTGTGGCATCCTCACTGGAGAAGAAATCATCACATATTGTCCCGTACTGACCCCGGAACTGGACCTCCACGCGACCACGCCCCTCACTGGTACTGACCGTTGTGTTGGACATCAGCCTCACACTGACCTCTGGGGACAGAGAAATAATACAGTGAAAGCAGGCAAGGTTTGGTAAACACTGATATAGCACAAAATACATTCTTTTTTTATTTGAAAAATCAACAGTTTTTCTTTACCATCAACATTTATCATATCCTTAAATGTAAAGATTATAACAGCTACATGTACCAGTGAAATTAAATAGTCTACACCAAAAGAGAGATTGAAAGAGAGGGAAAGAGAATGAGAACTGGTACAGTGGATTTAAAGACCCATTGTGCAATTGGATAAGGTATGGCTTCAAGCTGGTGATTAAGGGAAAGAACTTGAATTAATGTGAGCACTTGAATAAAAAGACTGGCCTGCAAGCCACTGGTCAGTCATTTTTCTAGCCACTGGTGAGTCATTTTCTGGCCACTGGTCAGCCATTTTCTGGCAATTGGTCAGTCATTTTCCTGCCACCAATCAGTCATTTTATACAAAAGGCAAGTTTTACAACAGAACTTTTGGCCAAAAATTCAGTCTAATTAAATTTGGGATAAATGTGCAATATACGACAAAGACAAAGCAACTTTTGGTATTTCTTGTTATAAACCACATACTATACCTAAATTAATTTGACTCACTTAATCTATTACCTAGGTAATCATACAGTGTATCTGAACTCACCAGGTATACTACAGTTGGTCTCATCCTCTCTGTCAAAGCAGTCTTCGTGTCCGTCACACACGTGTTCAGGGTCCACACACTTGCCCGTACCACACAGCACTCCCGCACAACCCGCGCTGGTGGTAGTGAGTGTCACAGTGGGTGCTGGTCTCGGAGAAGTGGACACGGCTGAAATGGAAGATCACTTTATCTTAACCCTCTATGTGTTCTACATATATTGTATATCTACTGAACAGAGCAGTAAAAACATTCATTAATTTATCCAGTTGTTGTTTCAGTTAATATATGTAATGTTTTAAAGGATGTTCTTGGATGCTGCCATCAAATAACAAGTCCATATGTAGTCGGCACCATACTTTATTCTCTTTCCTATAATCTCTAGAGATCTCACCTAACACAACAGACTGGTGCACATCTACATGTTTAGCATTTATTTCAGATTTAATCCTCCTTCTTCACTGCATGCAATATGCCTACATATATTTCATAAGGTATATATCAGATATTACCTTCTGAGCAGATCACAGCGACGTCTTCATGGTGTCCACAGCTGTGTCTGCCCCATCTTGGACTGCATTGTGTTAGAGAAGACTCAGTGCCTTCACAACGCAATGATCTCAACCACACTGTGCCGTCGCCTTCTCCAAACATCCCCACTGAATCTGGCGCTTCTCTGGATGGACCACTGGGAGACAGAAACATTCAGATAATATTACTGTTATGTCTCACAAGGTATAAGATTCTAGCATTCTTTGATGGCCTTTTGGCTTAAGAAGAATTATGCCAGGTGGACCTAAGATGCTGATGACCAGTCTGGTCGATTGAATTAACTCAATATAGGTCCACTCTGAACCCAAATTTGACCTAGATTCTATGCCACTGCCAAAATTGAGTCTCCAGAAAGGGGAAAGGAGAATTTTTCAGAAAAAGAAACTCCCCTTGAATTACCTGGTTGCAGGCCAGAAAAAAAAGCAGGTAGTTACCATTGAGTGAAAAGTTACCAAACATTTCAGAGACTATCAATTACTACAATCTCTTATCTAATACAATAATGCACATTAGCCATTTAGTAAAGTGAATGCTGGGTAGAGGAGAGATGGCACCACAGTCCAGTATACTCACTTGAACCCCAACATACGACATAATACTGTGACATCATTCTGGTGGAAGAAATCGTCACAGACTGTCCCCCAGGTGTCTCTGTAGTAGACCTCTACTCGGCCCTGGCCAAGATGAGACGTATCCATGGAGAAATTCATCAAACGGACTTGAATGTCTGGGGAAAAATATGTTATATAATGATTTGATATAATCTAATGTAATCTTATATAATATGACATGACATGACATGATGTGATATGATTTAATGTAATATAATGTCCTTTCCAGTCATCTTAGTTCCAGCAAGGAGTGTACCCCCTGGGGTCCACCCCTGGGGCTGTTCCCCCCCGCCCCACACCTGGTACTGTACAGTTCTCCTCGTCATCATTGTCCCAGCAGTCATTGTGACCATCACAGTAATGATCAGCAGGGATACACTTCCCTGAGCTGTCTTGACACATGTACCCAGCACAGGCTGGTGATGTGGGTGATGTTGGTACAGTTGTGGTGGTTACTGTTGCTGCAGCAGTTGTGGCTGTCAATNCCCCCCCCCCGGTCCCCCCCTCTACTCACCTGGTACTGTACAGTTCTCCTCGTCATCATTGTCCCAGCAGTCATTGTGACCATCACAGTAATGATCAGCAGGGATACACTTCCCTGAGCTGTCTTGACACATGTACCCAGCACAGGCTGGTGATGTGGGTGATGTTGGTACAGTTGTGGTGGTTACTGTTGCTGCAGCAGTTGTGGCTGTCAATGATGTAGTTGGAGATACTGAGGTACCTAGTGAGGAATAATAAATATACAGTATATGATGTATAAATATAGCATATATAACTATAAAAAATTATAAAAATAATAATAAAACTAGTTGCTTTTATGATGCATTCATTACATGCAAATTTCTTACAAGTGAATAAAACACGTATTGAATTTAGGCAAAATAAAGCACAATTTTTAACTTCTTTAAATTGAAATGAAAACACATTGTGAGTTTTTACAGATACAGATATATCTGTATGAAAGCCAGTGAAAGCTTTTTGTTGCAACTGTAACTGTTACTGCTGTGGTGGATGTTGTCATTCTAAGGACTAGTTTTACTGCCCTCTTATCAAGAATTCCCCAAAAATCAGGAAGAGCTACGACTCCAATTAGCTCTGACATGGGCACCAGAGGGAAAGAGAAGGCGAGGTCACCCACCAACAACTTAGAGAAGGAGCGCTGAGGCCGAGTGAGAAAAATTGGAGCAGCAGACATTGAGTGAAGCTGACACAGCAGCAAAAGATATAGAAAGATGGTGAGGATGCTGACAAGCCTTGGGAGCCGAACATGACTCAAAGAGGATAAATAAGTAAGTAAAATCAAATTTAATTTATCAAATGCCAATAATTCCAAGAATCCCCTAGAAAATACTCACCTGCAGTGGGCAGATTGACACAGGACAGACCCACATCTTCACTGTGTAGACAAGAGTCATGTTGTCCCCACTTCAGTGTGCATTCCGTCAAACTGCTCTCCGTTCCATTACAGATAGGAGCCCGCAGCCATATTGGTCCTGTGCCTGGTCCATAACTGTGGCCAGGAATATGGAAAGCCACGCCTGTGGATCTGAAAAGCAAATATACATATGCCCAATATGTAAAATTATGTAAGAATAAAGATAAGACTTTAAAAAAATTATATATATATATATATATATATATATATATATATATATATAAGAGAAAAAGTCAGCAAAGTGAAGTTTTCCGCTCACTGTGGCTATTTATACTCCCATTACTCCCGTTGGTAATAGCCTATTTAGGTATAAGAACTATATTTACTGCAGGAAATCACTGTTAAATGTCCTTTCATAATTTTTAGAAAGTCTACTTTACACAGCCGGCTATCCAAAAACTGTGGCAGTCTAAACTTAATAAAAATACTCTTTCTGTGACATAACTTCCTGTACGAACCCAAATCCCAGCATTCTGCATATCACCACAGCATCCTCGTCGCTGAAGAAATCATTACATACAGTGCCCCATGTCTCGCGGAACTTGACCTCAACGCGACCGTGACCTTCTGCCGTGGAGTTGACCTCCCCGGACATCAGACGGACCTCTATATCTGCAGACAGAAACAATTTTCACACATTGTTTAAGTACAGTAGACCTAAATAGGTTCAGGTAAAAGTAATGAATAACACTTGATTGCAGTATTTTATATGTGTAAAGAAAACAGTTAAAGAGCACTTGTTTAAGTCAAAAAAAAAAAAAAAATGTCACAAATAAGAAAAAATATGAATGGTTCGAGTATAATATAACTGATAAGTAATTTGGTGAAGAAATACCAGCCCATACAGATAAATACCAGTTTTAGAAATAAAAGCTGCAATGATTAAAATACTAACAGACAGTGATTTCAGTGACTTCAAAATGGCTGTCTGTTATTTTGCCAAGCACTGATACATGTACATTATATCCCCCCTTAACTTAAAGCTAACTAAGCATAATGTGAGGAATCAAAATAAAAAATGAGAAGCAGAAAATTAATATGAAAAGGCACAAAAGATAGAAACAACCACAGGTCATATCCCAATTAAATAAATAAAAAATCATCAAACACAGAACAGAATTGAAAAAAAAAGAAAACAAGTACCAGGGGTTGTGCAGTTTTGCTCGTCGCTGTCGTCATGGACACAGTCGTTATGACCGTCACACACATTGACTGCTGGGATACATGCACCATCACCATGACAACGGAAACCAGCACAGGAAGCTGTGGTTACTATGGTAACAGGGGTTGTGCTCAGAGTAGGGTAGGAAATGGTGGTGGTGGAGGAGGCAGGGGTGGAGGCTTGACAGGAAGAAAATAAAGAGAGGAATATATAATATATATAATAAATAATACAAGTAAATATAGCTTGATAAACCATTGTTTAACACTGTAAAGCTGTATTACAAAATTGGAGTAGCAAGAGCATACTGGGGTACACATAGAGAAAACATGTGCTTCAAGTAATGTTAACGTGCTTCAAGTAATAAAAATAAAATACAAACATCACATTTTGCTTGTTACATTTATGAAAAGGCCCATTTATATGCATTCTTCAATAAACTAAAGATATCATTTTGAACAGTGACAGAACAAAAGAACAGAGAGAAATGCGGATATAAAAGAATAATGATCTATTAAACAACAAAGTCGAAATATATCAGATAATAACTTTTCTGTAGACAGTTCAGCACAGGCATGCAGTTAACAAACAAACAAACAAACAAACAAACAAACAAACAAATAGATTGATTACATCATTTAAATCAATTATAACACAATATATAAAAGCCCATACTACTTCATATAATAAAATAAAGGGCTATGGGCAAATTATTACAATTCCATGGTTGCTTAATTTATTGTCTTAAATTTTTTGAAGCACCTGTTTACAGTTGTTATTACCTGCATCCGTACACTCTATTGCCACATCTTCAGTATGTTCACAATTGTGTCGTCCCCAGGTTAGTGTACACTGCGCCAGGGACGTCTCACTGCCGCCACAGCGGACGTTCCTCAGCCAGACGTTCCCTGTGCCGTGACCAAAGCCATGAGGTCGAGGAATGTGACGAGCTGGACCACTACAGACAGATTGGAAATCATAAATGTATTATATATAAAAATGTATGTATGTATGTATGTATGTATGTACGTTTAAAACAATCGGATTGGGACCAGACACCCTGCTAACTCAACTGAATTATCAGAATCCCGTCCTCTAAAAACAGAGGTGAGCTATTAAACACAAACAAACAAATAAATAATAAACAAATAAAATAGTTCACATAAGAATGGAGAAACCTCACTTATTTCAGCATTCAGCACAATTATTTCCTGTTAAAACTTCTCTTGTACAATATGAATATTTAAGTTTACATAATATAATAATATCTTACTAGTGGCCCAGCATCCTGCAGATCACCATGGCGTCTTCCTCCGAGAAGAAATCATCGCACACCGTCCCCCAGACATTGTTATATAGGACCTCCACTCTGCCGGCACCTTGTACTGTAGTTACCATGGTACCGTTCATTAACCTCATTGCTATTACTNCATGGTCTTATATGAAGAGAAATGCAGCGTAGACCTACTTGTGGACGAATACGTTGTGGTAACAACATCGCATGTGACGCCTGCGTCCTCCCTGTGGCTGCATGCTTCACGTCCCATCTCATCATGCGTGCACAGAGCCAGATATGCCTCCTCTCCATGGCAACCGACATCGTCACGGAAGACTGGCCCTGTGCCTGAACCAAAGTGCGCCTGTCTGCGTGCCACTGCGACCCCACTGGAAGGTGAAGTCATACGTTATAACCAAAGTCTGATTGGTGTAAAACTGGTAAATATCGACAAATATCTCTTTAACAATGTGAAATGATTTTGTCCTTTTTTAAGTCAATAAAACTCACAAATGGTCTGTGCAAGATATAGATATCTTTAACAAAACAGAAATAAATTAAGTTTTAAACAATCATTATAAACACATTTTTTCTTTTTTGAAAGTGACCATTTTTGTTTTGTGCCAGCACTTCACTCAATCACCTTTCTTAAACTATGCTGTTATAAATTTATTTAAATAGATGGAAACTTCATCTGAAAATGGATCTAAAGGTCTAGTCCCAGCTTTTCATCTCAATTAACACATTACTTTGTCAACTAGCACTTCATATCTCAACCAACACATTCCCAGCTGTCTGACCTGTATCCCAGTTGTCTACAGACCACAGCAGCATCGTTATCGTCCCAAAGATCATCGCAAACAGTTCCCCACTGGTTACTGATGAACACCTCCACTCTTCCTTCATGTGGTCCACTGCCGTTAACCAGACGTATATCAAACATAGGGGGCACTGCAATAAGGAGAGGGGATGGCTAACATAATATCACAAGAAATTTTATTATTTTGCTCTCCATTCATTCACAGGTGATTATCAATGTGGAATTTAAATGCTGAGAGAGTTATAAACTTTAAAGCTGTGGATTGTGTTTTTGTCGAATCTCCCTTAAGAGGAACAGATACAGGGCTATACACTGAAAATGTTGGGCTTGGGGGGGGGGGGAATAGCTTTGAAAGGCCCACAAGAAGGTTATTTGTACTGCTCCAGAATCTTTTAAAGGGCACTTTATTTTTTCAGTGTGTATCTGAGAGAGAGAGAGAGAGAGAGAGAGAGAGAGAGAGAGAGAGAGAGAGAGAGAGAGAAGAGA